CTCTATTTAAGTCTAAGATACAAGGATTAAATACATTATACAACATAGTGTTAGTTTTTTCATCCATTTAGATGTTTGCAAATGAACAATGAGATACTTGAAGCCCATAATCATGCAGGATTTAGATAAGATGACCTCCAGTTTTAAGAGGTATTCAGAATTTTCTGCAGCAGACCTGAAAAGAAGACTTTAGAACCAATAGGTTTGAGCTGGAGAAAACTTAAAGAAAAAAAAAAATATGCTTTTCGTATCCTTATTTAATCGGTAAATACAGACTAAACCGCAACAAATACAACTAATTAACAAAAAAATGCAGGTTTTGCACCTTAGCAATCCATTTACAACTATGCTACCTCCAACCTTTTATACATCCCGGTGTCTAATGCCTATCCCTAATACTGAATCATAAGTTGTACAATAAATTCGCAGAACAGCAATATATTGTAAGATCGGAAGTGTAAACAATGCTATTTCAATCCATTCATAGAGATGAAATGGAAAACATATCCAACACTATAACATACAACATTTAAGCGGAAATCTGAACAATTATCAAGTGAGTTGTGTAAGGTATCTCCATTCCTGATCAACATTTTGGTTTAACCTATTATGCTTTATCAATCAGATTTCATTTACTAAATTTAAATCTCTTCCCGTTTTCTTTTTTTCCTGTTTATTGAATCCAAATTCACAAGCATCTGTTGAGCTGAACAAATTGATTCCTCAATTATACAAACTGAACATTGAACTACACCTAATGCCATCACTTGATCATTCATATCCCAAACTGACTAGGCGTACGAATCACACTAAGAACCCTTCTGATTTTATGTTTTCCTCATTGATTAGCAAATATCAAACAGTAAAAGCACAACAAATCACCATCAAAACTGTGATTATCCATCGTTTCCCTAACAAAAATAAAAAATGCCCATAACACATTACATCCGATATCGAAACCCAGAACGACAAAAGTTGCACATAACCTAGGGCAGCCCGCTGTGTAGATTTCAACTACGGAATCTCGTTCTAAATTTAGTTCAATTAAATCATACCAATCACCGGAGAAATCCTAGAGTCTTACTAGATATCATTAACAAACGATCTTTCTGCAAAAAAAATTAAAAAAATCGACCTCAAAAGCTTGCTCTAGACACAAACATGAACAAAGAGAAAGCAATCATGGCATACCCAAACCCGTATGAACCTAAAGAAGCCAATTTTTTGTGTTCCTCAAAATATCAGTTTGAGAATGCAACGGACGAAGAACCGTAGGTCCACACTGAATCTTATTGGACAAAACCTAAACACCTTACCTGAATGCCGGTGCCGGAGTAGCTTGTCAATCCAACCAATTTGACTATGAGGATTGTGTCGACGGAAGGAGGGGGGAGTACAGTGCAGTGCGAGGGAGGGAGGAGAACAGTGCGAGGGGGAGAAGAATATGTGCCCTAATTTCTGTATTTGAGATTTTTGGGTGAAGACTTACCAATGCGTGTTTATATATATATATATATATATTATCTTTGGAAAATTTCAAATATTAAATTTAAATGGAAAAAAATAAATTAATATCATTAGTCACGAATTTGATTGTAACTAATATTATTTTGACCAAAGTTTTCCTTCTTCTTAATTGTTACATAAAATTCTGCGTAACAACTGTGCCTGAAACGTTGACCGAACAAAAATTGTTTTATCACGGTTTTTATCGTAACCAAAATATCTATTTGTTACGATGATATTGTTACGAACCCTCAGCCTGTGGTTCATACCCTGTTTTTTTAGTAGTGGCAGCTGGAGCTAAAGTGGTTGCTGACCTGGCTGATAGACAATGATGACATGACAAATAAAATATTCATTTTTGTGTTTATTACTATTTGTGTTGATTGGACTAAATAGAAATTAAGACATTTGTATCTATTAATACACAATTAATTCAACCCGACCTCGAAATTTAAAAATCAATTCATACCCATTTCAATTTGATCCATGAACAAATGCAAAGCCAATGGAAGAGTAAAATCAAATAAATCAATAGAACTGTGGTAAGTTTATATTCTGGATTCGATCAAACCTCATAAACAAAATTACAAATTCAAGTATGAATTCGAATGAAGCCAAATTAATAAAACAAAAAAGAAAATAAAATTAACAATATTAAACAGAGGCAATATTCTGAAATTTATTACATGAAAACCAAAGGACCACAACCTTGAATTAAAATTAAAGCGAACTAGGTTTTCCTGTTCGTTGAGCTTCAAAAATTGGGGAGAAACCAAATAAACCCATCTATGATTTTAGATCACGCCCAGACCTTAGACGATTTAGCAGATAACAACAATGGTCATTCCGGAAGCGCGCGGCGGCCGGCCGTTTCAAGCGGCGATTGGCAGCACCTCGACGGCGAGAAGCGGCGACTCTTGAAGCATTTCCGGCAGCAGTGCACAATTTCCGGCGGATGGTTTTCTTTGGCGACAGCTCTCCACAGGGGTTCCAAATGGCGATTAGCTCCCAACTCAAGTAATGATGACAATAGTACAAACCAAATTAAACTAAAGATAAATTATTTTATTAGTTTTTTAAAAAAATAAAATCAATTTTCCATATCATCGTCCCTGATTGACCGGATAACGTGCTAGCTCTGACTACATCAACCTCAGCTCTAGGATGTTCACGTAGGTGTACCTGACTGTCAAGTGCTTATTTCTAGAGCCGGAGAACAAAAATAAGGTTGATGTGTGGACATATTGTCCTAAATTAAAAAATAAAACATGTATCTTAAAATTATAATTTAATTTACATATAGGACAAAATTTGCAAATTTCATGCAAAAAATTATGCATTTATAGTCAATAACAATTTGTTTTTTATGCATGACAAGTGGTAAAACAAAACCTTTATGTTATGGTTCTTCATGGTAACAAGTACAAGATGAGTGAATTTATTTCCAATAAAAATTTGTCCCGAAAGCTTGTCACTTGTTGCAAACTTAACCCCTTGTCATTACCAAGTACATGTTATAACTTGATTATTTGTATCGCTGAGTACATCTTATTTGTAAGGAAATGATTTAATAAACAATTACAAATGGAAAAACTAAAGAAGACTTAAAAAATTGAGTGAGAGAGAAAGAAGAAACAAAGAGACCATAGCCATGTTGTTTTAAATAATTAGATCGCTTTTCTTTAAGTTTAATTTATTTATTTATTTAAATTAATAATAAATTAAACTTTTGCTCTTATAGTCCGCAGTCTCAAATGAAATGGGTCATTTAGGAGTTTTATAAAATAATAATATTTTATTACTTAGTAGTACGTAAGAATTCTTTATATTTTTGTAATTTAAATAAAAATTAAGGGTATTTTAGTATTAATGCATGATTATTTTTTCTAAAATAAAAAAATAGATATTTGAAGTGCGAACAAAAATGGTAAAATAGATTCTTTGAATTGAGAAGGAGAGACTATTTATTTTGGTTTTCACATTTAATAAACACCTTCTAGTGTTCATATACATGTATATGTACATAAATCAATTGATATTTTCCGTTTTTGCATTATTGTTTGCAATTTTTTGTTTTCATTATTTATGTTGATATTCTCATCATCGAACAAAATTAAATTTTATGTTATATTTAGTAAAATTATAATGAAAAAATCCGTTCTTATTAAAAGGAATAGATACGTAACAATGATGTGTACCAACGTTTCTCCACTATAAATATTATTGTATATTTAGTTGGTATCACAACATCACAATAGGCTACCATAGCTACTATTTTGTTTTTCTTATTTTTATTATTCCGCGAGTGAATATTAAAATTTTCTGTGATCCCTTATGTATATTTATGTGTTTTCTAAATAGAACATATTAAACATTCTTAGATTTGAATGATTGATCCAAGCTTCAAAGATATATATATATATATTACGGTAATTGTTCCATTCATTGTTTGAATGAGATTTTTGGGTTGGATGTAATTGTCTCGATTAAATCTAAAACTCTAATCTACTACTTAGATATAAAAAAAAAAAAAAAAAAAAAAAAAAACATTTCATTTAATAAAATCATCAAAAAAAAAAAAAAAACAAACACCATTTTGGAGATAGTCTAATATAAAATTTGTTTTGTGAAAATATATGAAGTATATCATCAATTAGAATTGCGACTATATATACAAGCATTTTCAAAATTAAACTATAATTTCTTGTTGGAAAATCTTGAATGTCAATCAACGCTATGCTTTATTTTACTACAAAAAAATATCAATTTTGTAACAAGATTTTTTTGTTGTTAAATCCACTTTTTTCGTTACTAATGATATTAGAGACGGAATTTGAGATGGAATTACGTTAGCTACGTGAACTTTAGTAACGAAATTTCGTTACAAATATACTTTTTTTTGTAGTGTTTATACGAGAAAATATATATTTTGTTATAAAGTTCATTGGTGTATCTGTTCTTTATTTGTGTGATCATTATTTTATTAAAAGTATCAAATATTTTTCTTCCACAAAATATCTTATGCACAACTACATTTTAGTGTTTATATTATATTTTTTAAACTGAGAAGTTTTTTGGTTGAATGTTTTCAATGGAAAATTAATATTATATGCTATATATATTTTTATTAACATGATATAACTTGAGTAGTACAATATAAAAAACAACACTATCAGTTATTACTTATAATTCCATGATTTTGTGACAAAAACAAGGAAAATTTCAATATCCAAATTTGATTAACAATAATTAATAATGTAATTTTTTTTAATATGTTTTCAAATTCGTATAAATAAAAGTGGATATAATCCATCAATCCAATTTTCCTACCAAAAAATAAAAGTAATCAAGAATGATTGGACTAGTATAAATATTCAACATCCATGCATGAAAACACACACACCAATATACCAATGCATCCTTCTTTTGTTTCCTCTTTTCTTGTCTAAGTTCTTACAAGTTAGAAGCATTTCTTATTTTCCATCTTCGATAACATGAGCAGTTCTGAAGATCAATCGGGATCGTCGCAGCGAAAGCCTGGCCGTCGCAAGATCCCTTTGCAAAAGATAGAAAAGGAGAGCAACCGTCAAGTTACTTTCTCCAAGCGCCGAGAAGGGCTTTTCAAGAAAGCTAGCGAGCTCTGCACTCTTACCGGTGCAGAGGCTGGGGTCGTAGTCTTCTCACCCGGGGACAAACCCCATTCATTTGGGCATCCAGGTATAAACTCTGTATCCGACAAGTTCCTCACCCCAGAGAATATTGGTGTAGGTAATCAGCAGATAGAGGGTCAATACATGGAGGGGATGCAGCAAAATGGACTTGATGGTTTGGCTCAAGCTGAGGCCGGGATAACTGCGGAGAAAGCAAAAAAAGAAGAGCTAGAGAGGCTAAGGAGGGAGAGTATGATGCCCCTGGGAGGCGCAGGTTTGGAGGGACTCGGATACAACCAACTCCAAGTCTTGAAAGAAGCTGTTACCGATTTTGGAAAGAATGTGAGCGATTTAGTTGGGCGAGTGTCTGCTGCCCCACCAGCTGCGAATGTGAGTGTAGATTGTCCATTTGGGGTCGGTCCCAGCATTATGGTGCAATATAATGGAAGGACGGGGCAGGGTGCCAGTGGCAGCAGCAGCAGCAACAGCAACACAACCGACAAGAACAATAAAGGTGGTTAGTAAATGAGTCAATGTTGGTGCTGGGATTGTTTTCGTCGTGCGTGGTTATCATAATAAATCAAGAGTGAAAGTTAAATTTATGTTTGATTTACAGATAATGAATTTCGTGTCTATGTTGAACACTGTTGACGACAATAAATTGTTGGTCTTTGTTTGCGTTTTTTTTATTATTATTACATACTTGTTATTTTGGAATCTTTTTCTTGAAAAACTACATAATAACATCTTATTTTAGTTTCTAAATTTCATCCAAACATAGATTTTATTGAAATGCAACAACAAATGTTATTTAGACTAATGTCCAATTATACATGTTATTTTATTAAAACATCGACCTTACGTCACATTGAATCCTCATATTAATCTTCCAATTACTGAATTCAATACAATTCAAACTAGAAACAATACAAAACAACTTTTTTTTTTTTTTTATTTTTGATAGGAGTGCACAATAGTTTCTTGTATTCACAGTTTGTGGGGTAACAATAAGTATAATGCACAATAGTTTATAGTGTACTAATTCCTTATCCTTTTATCAAATTGATGATTGATATGTATACTTTCAAATAATTTCATACTTTAATGAACGTGCAGACATATATATTTATAAAATATTCTTAATAACTTTTGCAATACAATAATAATTTATTATATTCTGCATATATAATAATTGCGAGCTGATTGTAAATTTGTTTTAAATATATTTGATTTATTATTTAATGTTATAGAAAAAGTATTAAATCGAAGGCGAACTTATAAAATTGTATGAACATTAGTATTGAATTGCTTGATCGTTGTGTAAATTTATTAAATATTATGTACTAAAATGTCATAAAGATATTGAAGTGTGATGTAAATTAATATTTTCAACCATACAAGAAAATTTTTGAAGTAATACCAAAATATATTGAGAGATAAGTTGTGCCTAAACCACATAAAAATTTATTGCATTACGTATCACATATTGTAATATCGGTTCAGTATAAAAACCCAATGCGATAATAATACAACAATATACACGGAACGCTCAGGAGACATTCACAATTAATCATTAGAAGTTATAGTCTAATTGTTTCAATAATTCGATCATTTTTAGAAACTTAAAAGCATTGATTTATGTAATTTTTATATTTAATGATTTGCAAACAAGTTCATAATACACCTTCATAACACGATAGTATCTGCAAATTTCTGCATACATTATTAACTTCAAAATTCCCACATGAAGAAGGAGTTTGCTTGTATCTCTGCAAACTTAAGCATGCATTATTACATTCAAAATTCTTGAGATCAAGCTAGATCTTACCTTCAACAAGTACGTGCAAACCTTAGCAGATTATTCTGGTTAAAAACTACTGCCACTTACACAAATGCTTACTGGATTCACATGAGCCTGTTTGTGCAGACATGAATGGATTGTTTTACTTTCTGTTCGAGAAAGCTAGTTCTAGTGTGGGCCACAAAGTAGTTATTTCAAGCTTTAGTTCACTCTGATTTGAATAAGTTTGTTGAGCCCAAATTCGTTTAAATTACAACTTCATTGTTCTTCGTGTCTTCCTTATATATTTCCTTCTGGTTTGGGAAATTTCGTGCTAGTGAGATTTAGTTCGACCTAATAGTACACTGTACAAGTCTTAAAGTAGGATTGGACAAAAGTCTTGTGTGTTTTGATTTATCTTCAAATTAATATAATCATCACAGAAAAAATACCTTTAGTAGTCCAATGTAGGGTTTCTTTGGTCACCTATATTATAATTTATCTGTTACCTTAAAAACCCATCCCATTAACCTAGAATGTAGGAGTAATTTCATCAAATTATTCTGAAACCAATATAAAGGATTATATATATGATTTTATATTTTCGAAAGTTCATGTTAATTACTAACATATTCGTGTTTCTGCGTCGGTAAACATAGATGGTTCAAGCACCGTAATTAATGGCCATAACTTGGTTACTATGATCCCATAGATCAGCCATAGGATAAGTATACCGGATTTATTTGTAATCAAAGGTAAAGTATAGGAGAAACATAAATAGTTTCTAGTACTAAATAAGTCAACTAACATTAAATAATGGCGCTGGAAACAAAACTCAAAAAGTTGAAGAAAAAAGTGGGTTTATTTCGAAAAATTTCATGAAAAGACGAGTGTTTTGTATAGTATTTTGAATAGATTATATATGTTGGATGTAATATTTTTTAAAGAATATAACACAGTATATACTAATGTTGAAAAGATAGGTTGTTAGATATGATCTTTTTCCGAAAAATAAGCTTTCTGTATAATATTTTTTAGATTAATTAGTATGTACATTTAATAACTAATGTTTTCTCTTGTTTGAGTTTGTCTTACTCTTTCTGCTCCTTTGAAAGCTTTAGTAGAAATCACTGGGGCTTTTCCTCTTTAATGTCCAATAGTTACCCCAGCCCAAATATAAATTGTAGGTTCTCTCGCCTAGTTTATGCGGAGCACTTCCGGTCAAAATTTATTATGTACTACAAAATTAATTGTCATAAAAATTCTTTTGCTAGAAAATCTTATTTTCATAGAAGAAGGGCTTTACCTAAAAAATCATCATTCATAGCTAAAATCATTTGGATAAAAAAATATGCTTATTTTGTATTTAAAACTCTTTTATTATAAATTTTATTTTTATAGTAAAAAGAGGTTTTATCTACGAAATCACATTTTCGTAGCCACATCTATTTTTTTTTAACTTTCATTGTGAAAAACTTATTTTTCATTTCAAAAGTCAAATTTGTCACCAAAGATCATACCAACACGGTATAGACGACATAAACTTATTTCACACAAAAACCTTTATGTCATGAATTCATTACCTAAATTTTGACTTTTTTTTGTAGTGACCTTCGGGATAGTGATTCATTTTGGGTACCTAAGCCTATATTTCATTTTGTTAACTCAAGGTGAAATATTGAAATAAATATTTTTTCGTATTTGGTTTGATTTTAATCGATCTAATGTTTTCTTGAATTGTTCCTATTTGCATTATATTAGCTTGTAAAACTTTTTATTGATCTTTTGAAAACACTATAGTATTGTTGTTGTGTATAATAGAGTTCATATTTTATAAAAGAAATTCTACAATTAATTTTCTATTGTAATTGCATAGTTCATTACCCTATAACATAATAACATAATTGAAATTGTTAAGTAGGGAAGAAGCATTGACACATTCAATAATCTCACTAGGGTCTTTCAATATATTTTATATATAAATAATATAAAAAAATAATAATTAAATAAAAAAATATATGAAAAATAAACTTAACAAAAAATACATATATAGAGGAATATATTTATAGATATATACCAAATATAAATAGTAAATTATAAGGAATTGATTAAAAAAATTAGTAAGCGCCAACAAAGAATCTAGAACAAAGTTGTTCTAGAAACATCTTCTTGGTGCTATAAAAAATAAGTGTATTGAGTAAGTGACCAACACGAAAACATGAGGATTGTCTGATAGGGTTTATCAGAAAATAAATTTCTATTTTATTTTTAAGATTGTACTTTCATTCTCTGCCGATCAATTGTACAAAGGTTCCTATTTGGCTGTGATTTTTATCTTTTTTTTTTTTTTTTATATGAAGTTTTTGTTGGAACTATGAGATGAGATAGACGAGGGAGGCAGCAGATCCGATTCAGTTAATTTTCTTTGAGGCTCGATTAGGAACAGAACTATGGATGGTAGCGAGAGTATTCTTCATTGGTCTGGGCGGAGGCTTTGGAGATGAATCGACATCTACATCTGTTGCCAACGGCTGCTGCTTCCAGGGTACGTATATGTATATATATATATATATATATATGACTGACTGACTAACTAATCATCTCTCTCTTTCTACTTTCTTAATTATGTAATTGTTGTTAATATATCAGATAAAGTCGATCTGATACAAAAGAAAGGAAAGGTACAAATATTTGGAGAATGCTATTGGAGTTTAATAAAGTCCAGAAGAGAATAGATGGTAATGCTGTAATGCCTCAATTGTATTGTGTAATTTTCTTTATTCTCATATCAGTTTTTCAGTCATGGGATTTGTTGGTATGTTATTTAAACTGGGATGTTCAGATCTGTCTTCATCAGCTTCCTATAGTTTTTGTCTCTATTTCAAAACTCTGGTGCAAGGAGATCTGGTACTAAAGGCCATAGTTGTCAATGGAAGCCAGTCTCCATGCCTTGAGTGAGGCTTGCGTCACTTGTCCAACTGTGGTTAACAAATCCATGGCTTTGATAGATTTACATTCCTAAACCAAACTTGACTTGTTTCTTTTCATACCTTGCTACTGTCTTTCTATTATCCTTGCCTGTTGATTTTGCTAACAAAATCTATTTCTATTTATCCATTGTTTATATGCATTTTTATTAAAGTTGATTTTAGCATTTTTATGCTTCCTTCTATAGGTGCTGCTATTTTTTCCGAGCAAATATATTCAATGTATCTTCTTCTTTTTTCAGCTAATTTCCCGCAGATCGCCAGTATTTATAAAGAGCATACCCGAGATACATAATGGTTAACACTAGAAATCGCGTCTCGAGAACTCGTGTGTCTCAGCGTAGCACCCTCTTGGACAATGAGGTGATTAACCTATCTTTTGTTGTAGATTTTAGTTTTTCATATTATGTAAATAATGGCCTCACAATGATTTCCTAACCCAAGAGTTTTCTTACTCTCAGATGGTAGAATCCAGAAAGTTTGTTGAACAAGATTCAAAAATTCAATGGTCTAATGCGTCTTGGGAGTGTGGTAAGAAGCTGAAGCACTACAATTCTTTTCTCCGGAAAGGAATTTCCATATTTGTGAGTAGTATTCTTCAAATTTTGACTCCAATTTTGCATTCTCTCTGTATTCAGCATTTTTAATGTGTTAGAATGATCCTTGTAGATCTGGTCTTTCGTTTGCGTCTGGGGGGAAGATAATAGAAGCTACATCGGCTATGTAGAAGATCTGTTTGAAAACCGGAGAATGGAGAAAGCAGCCCTTATACACTGGTTTCTGCGCAGCGAGGATGTTGAAGGCCGATAGTTTCCGCTGAACAGGGCATCAGTGATGTCTTTCTGTCTGTGCTAGGTCTGCATCGACTATGCATTTTCGAGGTTGGGGTGTGCATAAGCGATGCATTCTCCAATAATTCCATTGATCACTGATGGTTTTTCCTTATTGTAAACAAATTTAGATTGTTTCAAATATTTGATTTTCTCATTTGTGACAAATAGTTTTCGATAGTGCTGATGGCATCCAGTGGGGCTTGCATTGGCTTTCGGAATGCGGTGGCATTTATTAATTGTAGTTGGTTGCAACGAATGCACTAGAATTTGAGTGTTGAGAATCGATATCTAGTCGAATCATGATATTCAAATTGTAAAAATGTTTAACATTGGGGACATACTCCAAAAAAACATTTATATTTCGAATGGTCGTTAGAACTGTCGGTCCTATATTTTGAAGGATTCTATGCTCGTATGGTTATGTTATGTCATAGAACCAAATATTTATAAATTCCAATTTGGTTAAGAAAAGAGTTTTCTATGTTATATACGATGGGATTAATCCTGTCTAGTGATAATCTTATTATAATGTTTAAGTGGTGTATGTAAAAACTAAAATGGAAGTATTATATGTTTGGAAATAATATTTGTCGAAATCTAAGATATGGCTAAATTCGAAAATACAAAATCAAATAGATGCAAAATCAAATTAGCTTTAAGATTGTTGGAAAATCGTTTTTGGAGAAATCTGAGATAGGGCTAAATCCGAAAATACAAAATCAAATAGATGCGAAATAATCAAATCCAAATCTCGCATGGAACACGATTTCCTTGAAGCGAATTCCGCCATCCACCGATCACCTCCCAAATAGAACGAATTAGAAAACTTTTGGAAGAAAATTTTCATAGAATTTTATAAGATTTAGAAGGACCAGATTATTTTGTATTTAACTATTTGTATTATAGATGAGATGAGGTCATAATCGTCATCCTAATAATAATAAGAAGAAGAAAATAGTAATTAGATAAATGTCTGTTTTAAGTAAACTAATTATTAGGCTAAAGTTTATGAAATAGTATTTTGTAAACTTCAATTTTTTAATAAAATTTTTGTGCTTTATTATTTATTTTTTGAAATGGTACAAAGCTCAAAACTTGATATTCCATTTTGACAAAACCCTAACAGTACCTATAAAAATCAATGCATAAAAATTGTCTAATTAGCTTCATTATATTTAGCAGCAAAATATTTTTGTACTTAAAATGTCATTTAGCAAGAAAAATGAATTTATCAGTAAAATTTATTATGTACTATAAAATTAATTTTATTGCTAATTATTTTGCTAGAAGATCATATTTTCGTAGCAAAGGGATTTTAGCTGCACAATCATCTTTCATAGTTAAAATCATTTGAAAAAAAAAAAAAAACTATACATATTTTGTTGCTAAAATTCTATTGTTATGAATTTTATTTTTAAGAGTTTTAGCTACGACATTATATTTTCATAATTATATCTTTTTTATTAACCTTCATTGCGAAAAACTTGTATTTCATTAGGATCATAAAATTTGTCCTCAAAGACCTTTACTAACACATTATAGGCGACGAAACTAATTTCATCGCAAAAGCTTTTTGCTACTTTTGCTACAAAATTTTTTGTACCTAAATTTTAATTCGTTTTTGCAGTGAACCCTTCTTCTTTCTTTGAAGCTGTAATAAGATATCACTGCTGTGGTTGGAAAACAAACAAGATTTACACATTTGTTGTTCTTATTCTAACACTCTACGAGGAGAAAATTCGGTCGGTACTTATCCTCTTTGTGATTTAGAGATACAAAACAAGCTTATAAAAAATAAGGTTATAAAAAATCTGAAATTGTATCATTCATCTTTGGGGTTAGATAGAAAATAGACCTTCAATCCCTTAAACGATTGGAAACTAAAGATCTATTCCCATATGTCAAAGAAAATCTAATCTGTGTATGAATTTCTCCGTCTTTACTATCTGCATAACTAGACCTATATAGAATGTGTATAATATTTGTTAAGATATTCTAGATATTCAGTCTTAGATTCAGTAGATTTATATCTGGATTTGATTTTATTCATAGATTAGATTACTTAGATTTGAGTCTATCGAGTCTATTTTGTATTTCCTAGGTTCCGTATTTTGATGATCAATAAGACAATCTTATTATTTTCCCCCAAAAAATTTCTAACATGGTACCAGAACCTACTTTTCTCGTGCCGTAGATACAGCCTATCAATCCGCTTTTCTCTGGGTACATTCAACCTGGGATGTACCCGGAGGACTCCCAATTTTGAAATTTTTTCTATAGTTTCTAGCCCTTTCTTTTTCTAATTTTAATTTTATCTTGAGTCCTGATTTTGTCTATGATTGAAGTCATGTTTGCGCATCTGTTTGAGATTCTGCGATCTGTCTGCTTCGTTTCTTCAGAGCCATATTTCTGATTGCAATGAGAGTTTTGTTGTTTCCGACTTTGTTGAGAGTACTCCCGTCGTTTTCGACTCCAGTAAAGAGTCATGTCGCTTTCGGCTCCGGTGAAGTCATCTCGTTTTCGGCTCCGATGGAGTCATGTCATTTTTTGCTCCAGTGGAGAGTCATCTCATTTTTTGCTCCAGTGGGTGGAGAGTCAATTGCTAATTTCCCGTCGTTTTCGACTCCAATAGAGAGTCATGTCGCTATCGGCTCCAGTGGAGTCATCTCGTTTTCGGCTCCGGTGGAGTCATCTCGTTTTCGCCTCCGGTGGAGAGTCATCTCATTTTTCGGCTCCAGTGGAGTAATCTCGTTTTCGGCTCCGGTGGAGTCATGTCGTTTTAGGCTCCGGTGGAGTCATCTCGTTTTCGCCTCCGGTGAAGTTATGTGGTTTCCGGCTCCGATGGAGTCATCTCGTTTTTTGCTCCGGTGAAGTCATGTCATTTTCGGCGGCTCCGGTGGAGTCATGTCGTTTTCGACTCCGGCGGAGTCATCTCATTTTCGGCTCCGGTGGAGTCATGTCGTTTTAGGCTTCGGTGGAGTCATCTCATTTTCGGCTCCGGTGGAGAGTCATCTCGTGCTCGGCTTCGGTGGAGTCATGTCGTTTTCGGCTCCGATGGAGTCATGTCGTTTTCGACTCCGGTGGAGAGTCATCTCGTTTTTTGCTCCGGTGGGTGGAGAGTCAACTACTAATTTTATTTATGTTTTCTTTTTGCGTTTATATTCAAATTTCTTATCAAATTCAAGTTGGTTTATGTTATACCACTTGAGTTTGAGGGGGACGTTGAAATATTTTAGATATTCAGTTTTAGATTTAGTAGATTTATATTTTGATTTTATTTTATTCATATATTAGATTACTTAGATTTGAGTCTATCGAGTCTATTTTGTATTGCCTATATATAGGCTCCTTATTTTGATGTCAATAAGAAAATCTCATTATTTTCCTCCAAAATTTCTAACATTATTATTTCCATAATTATTACTCGATAATCTTCTTATTTTTTAATTCTAACATATAATATTTAGTTACAATTTATATATGATTGTGTTACTAACATTATCGGTAATTAATAGTAACAAAAGTACTTTGTATAAATTTAGTAGATTATTCTAACTTTTATGCATCTAAATAAACGTTACGAAAAGTTTAATGAAGATATAAAACAACGATAATTAAAAGCATGTGAGATAGAATAATAGTATTTTATGTACTAAAAAATCGAGGCATTACATATATGTATATATGTAAATATGTGATGAGGATGAGGAGGGGATTTTGTTATCTGAAAACTACAACTGCATCGTGAAGAGGAGGAAACTGGATAATGCCATAGGGGAAAATGCTTTGCTGGAAAGATTCAGATGTTTTGGAAGAGATAGATGTAGTACATACATTCTCTTTCAATGATTTTATGATATGTAGGAGTTGTCTTACTCAAATTCTGTGCCGACATGCGAAAATCAAAGGGACTTTTTAAGGGTTGTAACGGAGATTTTTGTTGGGATAGGAAAAAAAATGATTTAATGCCTCAAGTGTTAATAATGCATATCAAGTTCATCATATAGCCTATGTTTTTCAATTTCACACCCAAAGTGAAGCATATCCTCCGCTTTAAATATACAACTTATAAATCCACATGAACTCCTTTTTTATTATTTTATAATAGTATTATTTTTAATAAAATATATAAATTTTAATATATATAGGGTCCGAGTTCGGGTCGAATTTTATAATTGTAAAAGATTTTTTCGGGTCTGTTGGGTCCATTGGGTCTTGTCGGGTATTATTCGGGTCGAGTCCGGGTATAACTTGGTCCAATTCGGGTCTCAGGTCCAGCCATGTGTGTTCGGGTGGGGTCTCGGGTCTTGTTGGACCCGACCCATTCCCGACCCAATGCCATCCCTAGGTTCAAAGGAGTTTGTTGGTTGAATGCATGACATTGGGCATTGGTTGTGGTTTTTAGAAATCTTCGTTAACCTCGTGATTAGAATCTGTGGTGGTGCTTTGTGTCAAAACGTCTTCTGATGTCGTGGTGATCAGTTGGATGTTTGGTCAGGCAGGGGTACCTTTGTGATAGACGGTGAAAGGTAGGTAGATCAATGAAATAACACTGGAGGAGAGGCTCATACATTGTTTGAGGGGAGAATATACAGCTGAGATGGAAATCCAAGTCTCATATGGAAAGATTTGAAGAAAAAATCTACTACATATAAATCCACACAAACTCCACTTGTATGAGGCTTTAGAAAAAAGTTTAAAAACAAATCCGTGCGAACTCGGCCCAAAGCGGACGATATCATAAAATAGTCTATAGTATGTATACATATTCATAAGATTTCATAAACCAAAAAGTTACAATAATAATAATAATAATAATAATAATAATAATAATAAAAGAAATAGAGCAATTTCATACGCAAAAATGCTAAGATTTTTCAATGTCATTAAAGAATAAATACACTACTTCAAAACAAGTATGAATGAATTCAAAACCTTCAAACATCTTGGGGGTAACAATGCAAGCCATATAAAGTACGATCTGCAGCAAAAAACTCTTTTTCGTCATTTGTTGCAACAGGAACACAATGAGAGATGAGCTAAAGACCTCCACTTTCATTGTAATCTTCCTTATCAGGCTTTACATTAATGCCCTCAGAAACAGTTGAGAATATTTTTAATGGAGGAGGGAGATTCGTGGGATGGAAAATTGCAGGAAATGATTGGTGATGCAGCTATGGATCCCGAAGAGGAGGCTGCAGCTCAAGATGAATCAAACTTGGGAAATTTACCTCTATACTCGATGGCAGGATTTAC